TATTTTCAATATAATTATTAATGCTTTAGATTTTTATGTTTATTGGTCCAGACAATTCATCATTTCTAAGCCATATATGTTATTTCTGCTTTACTCCAAAATGTATTAATTAAAATTTGTTTATTGACCTTAATTCAGTTGCATAGTTGAATGGATTTTCCGCTTATTAATTTGGTTCTAGAAACATTTCATTGTCTATTATAGATTCATTTTTGTGGCTTAAATAAGCAGCTATTGTAAAATCTCCCCTCAATATCTCCGAGATTTGAATCCGACCTTTCCGACTAATGACATCTGATATTGCAAAGAGACAGCGAACTGTTCCATCGGCTAAGGCTTATGAATTTGTATGGCGAAGACCTGTCCCGGAAGCTTTGCAGAAGGGGGCCTATTTTGACAGATTTGATGAGGTAGGTTTTACTCCCATCATACTAATCTGGAATATTGTAATATATAACTCTTTTTTTCTCATTTTGACTTATTTTTTTAGGAATCTGGTACTTTGGAGTTAAATTGCTTTGTGCGGGTCGATGAAGATGGATTTTACATTTATTGGAAGAGTGAAAACAGTGTATGAATAAACTTAATAGCTTATTCTCATTTTATGCATTTAGATGATTATTTTTCTGAGTATATCTTCAATATTATCTTAATTTTATAGGATGGTCAAGTTTTGGAGTTATCTCAAGTCAGTGATGTGCGCGCTGGCTCCCGTTTTAAAGTAGGCACAAGATAATTTGTTGATAAATTTTTGTTTTGTATAAATAATGCACTTCTCATATCTTATAACGAATGAATTTTTATACCAGTTCATTTTTTTAAAAATTTATTGAATTTTGTATCTGTCTGACGAACTCATGATTTTATTTTTTTTACTAATTTCCTTATCACCATCTCAGTGTCTTATTAGACATCGTACTTGGTGCGAATTTAGTTCTTTAATAGTTATCTATTGAAGCTACTAAAGAAGGAAAGCTTACCTAATATCTTATAGATTACTTATATATGTAAGTGTAG